TTTAACATCTTACTTTGTAGGACACTGAAGTTAGGAGGTGAGCAATATTCTGAACTGCACCGTGGTTAAATAAAATTGTTTGATGATCTGGCCCCTGTAAGAAAAAAGAGAACACAATAACACATTAAGAAGAGTAAAGCTCTGTTCCAATTAAACCACATCGACTTAAACTCACCACAATGTGGACTTCTCACTTACCTTGTTCTGATATAAACAGCAATGTTATTACACAGAAAATTTAAAAGGCAGCATAACTACTGTTTTCAGTCATAAAACAGGAAAAGTAAGGTATTTTATATTTTTCATCAATTCTGAGATTAAATTTAATGAAAAAAGTCTTCAAAGTGGCAGGCACTAATGGGTAGCACAAGGTTTTGAATTTGCCACAATTCTTATTCATTGCTCTGCCCTGCCTCCTCCACTCCATTAGTAAAAAGCCAATCAAGACCAGCTGTTATTTCATGTTATAATTGTTAGCACTCAGTTTCTACAAATGTTCTAATTTCCAAAAGATTTAAAAAATCTTTTATACATGTTTATAACCTCTATAAATGAGTCTATAAGTGTTTCAGGACAGCAGCTACACCTTATCACTTACAAACACCCAGTGAGGGAAGATGGGAAAGGGAGGGTATACTTACATACCAAACTGCAAACTCATTTTACAACACTTCCCCCCAAACACTATGAAAAGTAAACGGCTTGATTCTAGAAAAATCATCTGGATTGAACCTTTAATCCCATTCTCAGGTTCTAGTAGATTACCATCCATATTCAACTATTCTGACAAATTTTCTCAGACTGCTCCGACTGAGTCAGTCAATTCACAGCGAACAGCCACTTTGAAAGAAAGGATTGGGCAATTGACAACTTGGTTGAAATTCATTGGCTAAAAATGAGTTCAAACCTTAAACAGCATCCCGATTTCTCAATAGGGAAACGTATCATCCAACCAACCCTTGGCAGGTGGCCAGAAAGCACACTCCAGGACTCTAGGGCTCATACAAATCTTTAAGTATCTGCTCCCAAGGGCTCCACAGGTCACAGCATCTAGTAGTCATACCCACAGAAAATTCACCCTGAAAGGTTAACTCTCTCTCTAATTACGATGCTAAATTATGATGAGCTTGAATAATCTCACTACTGAAAAGTGACCCAAATAGCTTTTTTGATGACTCATCAGAAACTTCTTACACATTTAGGATTAGTCATCTGAACGCTCTCAATGCTGTATCAGTTGACAAGGTTGGTAGAGAAATACCATTAGGCCACTAGCTCTTTTGCAGGAAAGAAACTTAGTGATGCTCAGCAAAGTTTAGGACCATATTCATGCCCCTAACAGAACAAAGGAATTTCATAAGAGAAAACCACCTTGACTTGACGACAGTGCGTTTGGGTTCTGTTTGAAGATGCGCCCCAGAAGAAATGAAAGGCTTCGCAGGCTGCTTCTGGGAGACCACAGCTTGAACCCCTCTGCTGTACAAGGGTTACCACATGTCAGAAGAGACTGGTCAGCATCAGGTTTGCGTGACTGGTTTTAGGAGAATGACAAATATTTCTCCTTTTCCATAATCAATGTTGCATTATGTACGGGCTTCTTTATTACATGTCCAACTTTCACATGCATATGTTGCAATGGAGAATACCATGGCTTGGGTCAGGCACAAGTTAGTCCTCAAATAACATTCTTGTTCTTCAATATCTTACAGAGCTCTCGGGCAGCACATCTGCCCGATACAGAGCTTTATATCTCTTGATTGCTGCTTCCATGAGCATCAGTTGTGAATCCATGTAAGACAAAATTCTTGACAACTTCACCCTCTTGTCCATTTATCATGATGTGACCTATTGGTCCAGTTGTGAGGATTTTGCTCTTCTTTACATTGAGTTGTAATCTATACTGAACCTACAGTCCTTGATCTTCATCACCAAGTGCTTCAAGTCTTCCTCACTTTCAGCAAGCAAGGTTGTGTCCTCTGCATACCACTCCCCACTATCATGATCCCAATTCTCCCTTACAAATCCGGCTAGACCACTGGTACAGATAGGAACTGGAAACACAGGGAATCCAGGACAGATGAACCCCTCATGACCAGTGGTGAGAGTGGTGATCCAGGAGGGTGGAGGGAAGGTGTGGTAGAAAGGAGGAACCGATTACAAGGATTTACATATAACCTCCTCCCTGCGGGACGGACAACAGAAAAGTGGGTGAAGGGGGAGACATCAGACAGTGTACGACATGACAAAATAATAATTTAGAAATTACCAAGGGTTCATGAGGGAGGGGAAAAAATGAGGAGCTGATACCAAGGGCTCAAGTAGAAAGCAAATGTTTTGAGAATGATGATGGCAACATATGTACAAATGTGCTTCACACAATGAGTGTATGTATGGATTGTGGTAAGAGTTGCACAAGCTCCCAATAAAATGATTTTTTTTAAAGCAACCTGATGCTGCCCTTGTCTACATATAATCCAGCTTCTCTGATTATATGCTCAGCATGTACACCAAACAAGTACGATGAGAGGATACAACCCTGATGCACACGTTTGATTTTAAACTATGTAGTATTCCCTTGTTCTGTCTATACAAATGCTTCTTGATCCATATACAAGTTCAGAATGAGCAGAATGGTGCTCTGGAACTCCCATTCTTCTCAAAGTTAGCCACAGTTTATTATGGTCCAATCAGCCAAATACCTTTGCATAGACAATGAAACACAAGTAAACATCTTTTTAGTATTCTTTGCTTTGAACCTATCCATCTGACATCAGCAATTATTATCCATTGTTTCACTTCCTCTTCTGAATCTGGCCTGAACTTTGGAAGCTCCCTGTCAATGCACTGCTGCAATTGTTGTTAGATATTGAGTTAGTTAATTGTGCCAGCCTGGCCGATAATCACATGTGGGGCTAATTGAAAGGCGGAGGGATAAATAGGTGGTGAGCCTCGCCTTTCTAGTTCTCGGGTCTCTTGCTTTGTGATGGTCGCACCAGGGTGCAGCTGCCTTAGGAGCTCCCTGCTTCAGCTTGCAAGATTGACTTCCTACAAGACATCCCCAAGGAGAAGTTACAAGGACCTAACCCGATGCAGCCCTGGGTGCTGGAGCAGCCGTGTGGAGACCCCTGCTAGTGCTGAGATGCTTATTCGTTCACTGACTCGGCTTTCCTCCTGCAGTCGGGATCATTGCCTCTGTTTTGTGAGGTGGAGGACTTTGTGGACTGGTGTTGGGTTAATGGGTTAATGTTGGACTTGTGGGCTTGGGCAGCATTGGGTTGGGATGTTTTCGTGATGCACACTTTCTTTACATAAAACTCTCTTATATATATGAGTTGCTGTAGATTTGTTTCTCTAAAGTACCTAGACTAATACAGATATCTTATGCAAAATTTTACTTGTGAGGTATCAATGATATCATTCTATAGTAGGAGCATTCTGTTGGGTCACCTTTCTTTGGTAACCTTTCCAGTCAGCAGGCCAGACCGCTGTCTTCCAAATTTCCTGGTATAGGCAAATGAGTGCGCCAGTGCTTCTTCAGCGTTCTGAAACACTTCCGTCGGTATTCTGTCAATTCCTGCAGACTTGTTTTTGGCTAATGCATTGAGTGCAATGTGAACTTCTTCTTCAGCACCACTGGTTCTTGCTCATATGCCACCTCCTGAAACAGTGGACTGTCGACTAACTCTTTTTGGTACAGTGACTATGGATATTTTCCATCTTCTCTTGATGCTTCCTGCATCACGCACTATTTTGCCTAAATATCAAAATTGCAATTTTTGAGGCATGAGTTTTTCTTGAGTTCTTTCAGTTTCAGATCCGGTGAGTATGGTTCCTTCCTTTGGTTTTCTAATTCTTGATCCTTGACATTTTGTTATAATACTGGGCTTTATCTTCCTGAACTGCCCATTGAGATGTCCTATCAGCTCCTTGACTTTATCCTTTCTTCCACTTGCATTGGACTTGAGGTGCTGGAGAAGAATGTTCAAAGTACCACGGACTGCTAAAAGGACAAATCAATCCGTATTGGAAGAAGTAAGGCCAGAGTGCACTTTAGAAGCAAGGTTGGCAAGGCTTTGTCTTACATACTTTGGACATATTGTCAGGAGAGACCAGTCCGCTGAGAAGGACATCATGTTTAGTAAAGTGGAAGGTGGCAAAAAAGAGGAAGGCTCTGGACAAGATGGATTGACACAATGGCTGCATCAATGGACTCGGGCACTGTGAAGATTGTGCAGAGCAGGCAGTGTTGCTATGGGTCAGAGCTGACTGGATGGCACCTACCAACAATCCTGCACTATTTGTTAAGTCATCCATCATGGATGGTCAAAGCCCTTACTACACAAATTCATTGCTTAAGGACTTAATTGGGAACCTCTGAGTTAATGTTAAGATGTAAAGCTCATGTCTAATTATAATATTTTAAATACTGTTGGGCCATAACTCAAATAATCAGATTTAACACACTAAAGCTACGGAATCACAAATGAATAAATGAACTATAGACAAGTATTAGAACAATAAACTATAAACAAGTATTAGAATATCAAAATGAATAAATGAACTACAAACAAGTATTAGAAATTCTCAGAGATGTTCATACCAATTTTCTAAAAGAAAAATATGGGGAGCTGAGATAGTTAAGGTTTGTTGTGCCAATCTGGCCGATAAACACATGTGGGATCAATTGAAGGGTGGAGATATGATAAATGGCTCAGCGAGCCTTGCCTTTCTAGTTCTCAGGTCTCTTGCTTTCTGATGGTGGGACCAGGGTGCAGCTCCCTTAGCCAGTTCCCTGTTTCAGTTGGCAAGGCTGACTTCCTGCAAGACATCCCTGAGGAGAAGCCACATGGACCTACCCCGATGCAGCCCTGGGTGCTGGAGCAGCCATGTGGAGACCCCTGCCAGCACTGAGATGCTGATACGCTCACTGATTCGGCTTTCCTCCTGCATTCAGCGTCATCACGTGTGTTTTGTGAGATGGAGGAGAACTTTGTAGACTGGTGTTGGACATATGAGCTAATGTTGGACTTACAGGCTTGAACAGCACTGGGTTAGGATTCTTTCTTAATGTACACTTAACCTTTATATAAAACTCTCTCTTATACATATACGTTTCTTTGGATTTGTTTTTCTAAAGTACCCTGACTAACACATTATGGTACCTTAGGAGTGGGGTACTGGAGAGCCCATGGTCTAAAGACAAGGAGCCCAATGGGCACCCTGGGGAGGCTGAGTGAGACAACTCACATTGAGTTGACCAGAACCCAACTAGATGAAGAGATTTTTGAGCCTGTCAACTGGTGCATAATGTTGCTGACTTTACGGATGGCCTGTCCAGACTTGACTTTGCTTATGGATGAGGACTTCACAAGGTTCCAACTGGAATGAAGATTCATCATTTCGAAAAACATGATTGTCTCAGAGCACTAGGTTGTTGTAAATGGGCAGTATAGAAATTGGATACCCCAAATTGGGGGGATAATGGCATGAAGTGGTTGGCTTACAAGCTTTCATAGGTGAGAGAATATATTCATAGGATTAAGGTGTAAGTGTTACTTAACTGGAATTGTTAGGTTAAAGAATTGTGTTCGGGTGCCGAGTTGGCAAGGGGTGGATTGAGATAGTTAAGGTTTGTTGTGCTGACCTGGCTGGTAAACACATGTGGGATCAATTGAAGGGCGGAGAGATAAATGGCTCGGTGAGCCTTGCCTTTCTAGTTCTTGGTTCTTTGCTTTCTGATGGTCGGACCAGGGTTGCAGCTGCCTTAGCCAGTTCCCTGCTTCAGCTGGCAAGGCTCACTTCCTGCAAGATATCCCTGAGGAGACAGCACATGGACCTACCCTGATGCAGCCCTGGGTGCTGGGTGGAGACCCCTGCCAGCGCTGAGATGTTTACATGCTCACTGATTCGGCTTTCCTCCTGCAGTAGGCATCGTTTTGTAAGATTGAGGAAGACTTCGTAGATTGGTGTCGGACTTATGGGCTAATGTTGGACTTATGGGCTTGGACAGCAGTGGGTCATGATGCTTTCTTAATGTACACTTACCCTTTATATAAAACTCTCTCTTATACATATAAGTTTCCATGGATTTGTTTCTCTAATTTACCCAGACTAACACAGGAGTAAATGGTGATATTTCCATAAAAATAATTTACTACAACTGATGATCAATATTGCTACTGGTACATGTTCTAAAAGTTGTGTTTATTTGGTGAAATCTAGGACTCTTCAAATGATCCAAATAATGGAGTCATGAACTTTTAAAATTGAAATTATCCGTGGAGATCGGCCAGTTCAACTTCATTCTTTTTGTCAAATGGGAAATGGTCTGGAGAAGGGCAGAGGACTTGCCTACTGCTAGAAGAGCAATAACGAAATTCAAATACACTAGCTCTTGGTTCTTCTTGTAGCTCTTGGTTCTGTATACTTTCTGCTCTACCACTCAGCAGTGGAGGCGATGAATGAGACACACAGGCACCGCCCACCAAAAGCATTCAGGATGTGAGGGCCTCAAAAATTCATGGGAGAAATCCATTCCTTTAGTTCTCATGCTGCACGACCTGTTCTGAAGTCCCCTTGTACTCTTTCATTTGTGCCTTTGTTGCTCAGAGGAAGTTTTGAAAAACAGTATTTTCATCATTTACACAATTACATTGCTATGACAACCAATCTGTGTTAAGTATTCTAAACTCCAAAATAATTTAAAAGAGTATGTATAAACAAAATCTCAATGAAAAATGAAATTTTAATGATTTAACTATTTCTCCATTGAGAGACGCCAATGACAAATGGCATCACTTCAGATGTGGTTCATCTGGGAGGTGGAAGTACAGGGTGATTTCAAGGGCTTGCCATCTGTCCCAGACTTAGAAGGGCCCCAACGCTTAGTTTAGCACTCCCGATAAGCGATGAACAGTCTGCGCTGGGCTCCAGTAGCTGATGTAAATTACAGTGATAAATGCCCAACAACAAAATTCTACCTAACATGTCCCGGTAACTTATGCTTTGTTAGCCCAGAGGGCTTTTAGCTTTACCCTCCCTCCATAACAAACAGGAAATGACCTCAATGTCACACGGCTTCCTCAGAAATTTCTGTCCTCATATGGTCTCCTCAAAATTAATTTCTGGGTCAAAATCAAAGGATTAAGGCAAAGAACGCCAAATGACAAGTAAGGAAGCAGGAAAAAGGGCTCAAAGTTAAAAATGCAAAGCAGATAATTCCTAACTTTTATATCCCGTGAGTACTACTTGTGAGTTTGGCAGTGCCGAAGTATCTTCAGTCCAGCTATCTACCCTGGACTCCAGACCCACATGTGCAATTGCTTTCCTAACATTTTTGTTTGCATGTCTGCAGCTGCTTAACAAACACAACATGAAGGAGCTGCTTATGTACTATTGCAGAAGAGCCTTCATGTCGTGTGGAATGAAAAACGCCAAGGTGCAGTACGTTCAGGACAGAACATTTCAAGGAAAAAGGGGAGGACAAAGTACAGACATAGGTTTGGTTCCACGTGCACAGACGCCCTCCCTCCACCCCGTGAAGCACATCTATGCAGGCCTGTCAGACTTCACAGTTCAGAGGACAGTCCCTCTGGCTCTCACCTTACAGCAGTGTGAAAAGATCTGACAGATGTACTCCTGGGTGTAGCGAGACCTGCTGAGCAGCGCCATGAGGTGGGGTATCACTGTGGCGTCCTGGAGAAGCAAAGGGGAGCACAGAACAAAGTCTCAGGCACCAGGCGCGCACGGCACATCACGTCCACGAGCACAGGAACTCAAGTCTCTTTCAAGAAAGAGTGGCGCAAAATAAAAGTAACATGGTCATCCAAACCACCTACGCACAGGGCAAGGGAAGAGGTTTTCAAATTTTATGCATGAGAACTCCACTACTTAGAACATGTCTCTAGAAACAAAGTATTTGTTGCAGCACTGTTTGCTAACTGAGGAAATTCTCACTTTCCTCTCCCATGAACAGCCTATGACCCTACAGTAACACAAAATTAATTACAAATCTTCTCAGAAATCTACTCTGAAACTGAAATGTGAGGTAACTAATAAGATGTACAATCATTACTATTTTAAAATAGGAGTAATTGCATGAAAAGAAACCTTGACAATTTGGACTCTGAGCTGCTCCGGTATCACGAAGCACTAGGACCTCTCATAGTGTACTAGGCTCTTTTCAATCTGCAGAAGGTGCAATAATTCTCTATGGATTTATGAAGCACAGCTCTTTGAAGAATACGAAATACAGTTCGCAAACCTCTGAGGTACAGAACCAAGATCTTTCATATTTTAGACCTATCCTTCTATGTGACATGAGCCACACCCTCACTTATAAACCTAACTATCATTCTGAACCTGAGAGCATGTGTCTGGGAGGAAGCCATGTGAAATGTCCCCTCTCCCTACTTGCTTTATGCCCCTTGATGATTTATATTCTTGAAAGGTTAGGAAGGTTTGATTCTAGATATGGCCTCTGATTTCATGTGTCTGATTTGGCAATCTGATCCTTTTGTTAGCTCAGAGAATCATAAAATTTGTGATTCCCAGCATGTATTATATTTACGGAATTGCTTTGTGAAATGAAAAAGGATTCACATGCACCCACATAAATATCCAGATAGTGTGGCAATGTAAAATGTATTTCTTACTATGGGTTACAGATAAAAGCGCACAAAAGCATTGACCTGGGTAATTTTCATTAAGAAAGTCCCGTGCAATCAATAATATCATTATGGAAAACAGTTGTACTTCCTCAAAAAAACGAGAAATAGAAATACCTTATTATCCCACAGTCCCACTCCTATCTATATTCCTGCGAGGTCTGATCAAAATAACATGGACAGACTTTTGCACATCTTGGTTGACTGCAGCACTATTCACAATAGCAAGAAAATGAAAACAGGCAAATCCTCAACAGATGAATGGATAAGCACAGTGTGATACATACATGTAGTGGAATGCTATACAACTAGAAAGACTAAAGACAGGTCCCTGAAACATAACATGGATGTACATGAAGGACATAAGGCTAAGTGAAATAAGGCAATGCCAAGAGGATAAATACTGTCTAATTCCACTTTTATAGGAAGACAAGAATGTGTGTGTGTGTATACACATATTTAGGAGGGCTTAAGAAGCTCATTGAAAAATTCCATTATCTTTTAACTGTTTTTCCAGCAACTTTTTCAAGCCAGCTTGTTTACACAGAGGCCAAAGTTCATAGGTGGGTAACAGAGATGGATGAGATGGGGTGGGATGGGGGAGGAAATCACTAGTAGCACTGAATGTGGGTGTAATGAGCACAACTTGACCAAAGTAAACAGACACAAAGACCCATGTAAGCCAGAAATAGAACCATATCCTCATCATCTATAAAGCTTTTGAAAGCCATTGAATGACGGAAAAGCTCTGAACTCTCTCAGACTATCATCTGATTCTAGTTTGTCAAGTAAGCCTGGTCTAGTCCACTTCTCTCTAGTGTAAAACTAACACTGATGTCCTGCCCCATCAGACTGAGTGTTCAGTCCACTGTCTTACTTTCTCACACAGATCTTTCCTAGAAAGGGCTCCTTCCTCTCCACTTCTCTAAAGTGAATTGATTACTCAAGATCCAGGTCAAATTCCAGCTTCTCTATAAAGCCAAGTTTGCTGAACTTTTAACATAAAGCAGGCTGAACTCATAGCTCACTTAGCATTAAATACAATGCCTTACTTTGTATACATAAAGATAATGGGACATGCGCAAAGTCTGAGGCTTGCTCTTGTACTTCCTACTATTTTACATAGCCGAGCACATTGGATATTCGCAAATAAGCAAGAATTTAAATAGTTCTTGAGATTTTTCTGGTACATAACCCTGTTACGTCGCATTCTGATATAGCATGCAAGTTAGGGTGAAATGCTTGTAAAATGGAGCGGATGTTGCAAACATTTGAAACTCACTGTGTACAACAGCTCCTCGGGAGTGACAGGGCTGGTGAAGATGGTGCGCAGGCACCGGAGGCAAGCTTCAATGAACCTCAGGTCTGGAGACAGTAGCCCTAGTAATAAAAACCAGATTGGGCACTCATCCTTTCAAGTGCTAGCTAAAAAATACCACAAATGGATTCTGATCTCTACTTGCACATAAATACCTTGCAGTAAGGCAGGTATAATATGGCAGTCCAGTAGAGACTTGACATTGTTTTCTGTGCCCATAGCAAGACTTCCCAATACCACTGCACACTCGGTTTTCAGTTCTGTGCTTGAGGATTCTTGCTGAAGCAAATACAACAACCTAGAAGGAAGGAATTTGACACAAAAGACATTTAAAAGCTTATCCATAAGGAAATTAGCAAAAACAGGGGTGGGGAATGTCTGGCATGTAGGCCATAGAAGGCCCACGAAATCATCAATACCAGCGAACATCACACGCCTCACCAAGCAGTTTCAGCCATCACATTAGGGGTGCGGTACTGAAATGCTTGACCGGTGTAGCTCATGAATGATGTTATAAATATCTAAATGGCCCTGGGCAGAAAAAAGGTTCGTGATCCACCCCTGAGCTAAAAGTAGTATGACAGAAAAAGGCTATCAATACATTCCCTCATACTACTTAAGATCTGAATGATCAAACTATGTGAATCCCTCAAGTCCATTACAGTAGTTGCTAATTCAAGAAAGGGCCATCTAGGGGAAAACCTTAGAAGAGACCATTTTTTTAACTTTAAATTAAAAATACAAAACATAAAACTGCCATCTAATCTCCGTCAAAGTTCTAATTCTAAAAGCTGTTTAAACGTGTTGTCTGTAAAAACAGGAGCTTACAGTCCATGTTATCCGCCATTTCCAAGTGGCTATTTCCAGAACATGAAGATTTGCAGCATCCAGAACTGCTGGATTTTATATTCGGTCTATATTCAGAAGTGGACCCTGGAGATTACTTAGAGCCTTGTATAGCTCCTCAAGCAAAGAGAACGTTCCTCTTTCTTCAATTCTCCCATTTGGAGAATCAGGAGATTCTCCTGTTTCCATGCCAGCCCAGTGTGCCACTTACTCCCTAAACTGCAACCCCTACCACTTACAACCATCTCAAGCTCCCTAACCGATCTCACTTTTCAATTATCTCAGTTTCTGACATTTGACGTTTATGACAATAGTTTAAAATCTACTAGCCAACTACTTGGGCATTCATGACATACTTCTGGCAATAAGGAGGGCTGAGGTGGGAAGTAAGAGTAACACTGGCTATTGCAGACGTGGGTCAGCTTGGCTGGGTCATGATTCTCAGTGTTTCAGCAGTCATGTAATGATGTAATCTGACAGCTATGTAACGATGTAGTCACTCTCCACTTTGGTCTTTTTTAATCATTTTACTGGGGGCTCGTACAGCTCTTACCACATTCCATACATGTGTCAAGCACTTTTGTACATATGTTACCATCATCATTTTCAAAATATTTTCATTTTGTGATCTGATGTGGTCATCTTCCATTTGCACATAATGCCAATTTTCCCATAACAGCCTGATTTTCGGAACCTAACCAGGTCAATAAGTGAGGAGTAGGTGTATTTTTATATTTATATATATATATATATATATATATAAATCTAGTCTTCTAAGACAAGCTGCAGAGAGTTTAATGTTTTTTAAAGCACATGAGGGAGATTCAAAAAGTTTAGGGAAAAAAATTCATTTTTCTTAATTCAGTTTTTCCATGTACTTTTCAAAAACTCATATTTGGGTTAAGTGGTGTTTAAAACATTAAAACCATTCATTCTGTATTAAAAGATAGAAAATAAAACAGAGAAGATAAAAAAGCCAAAACATCAAAAATTTAGAACAACTGGACACAAACATAGTTCTAAGTAGCAAAGACAAAGAGGAAATTAGCTTATTGGCACTGCCTGCCAAAAGTAAGTTTACTGTGTCATCAGAAGAAATGAATATTAATTTTTTTTCAGTTCTAAAAAAAGGAATTCTAAGAAATCATTATCTAATTACAAGAAAACACTGCCAGGGCTCTGAAAAAAAAAAAATGGAGACGTCAGGCTCAGGCATGTGCACATAGTCTATCTATAATACTCTTTTACTGCAAGGCCACAGATCTTCCTGGGCTCCCAAATTATGAAAAATTCACTGTTCATTCTATTCTCTGGTACTCCAGTATTCTTAAGCGGTACTTCAAAGACGTCGAGGCATCATTTGTACGGATTACAAGGCTTTTAAAAGTATAATAGACAATACAGAATAGTATGGGTCTTATGGTGGAGAGTAGTAGTGACGGAGGGGACAGCAATCGTACCTGGGAACAGCTCCTAAAACAATGAGGTTGGCTTTCTGCTTGTTGTTTCCAATTACAGCATTTTTCATGTCTCTGAATTTAGGGGAAGAGAAAGAGGTACAAAGTATGTTGAACTGTTACAGAAACATTAAAAATCAACTTTGCTTTTTCATTACACAACTTCTTGGGTTGGCAAGCACTGAAGCTAATGACAAAGTGCAAGCACTGACCTCTTTTACCTAGAATACCAAAGAGCGGGGATGGGGTAGATGGTACTGACAAGGGGGTTCTGAGGGACAGGGTCTGAAGGACAGGGGCACAGTAGAGCAGGAGGAGGTGGGAAACATCCTGAGACCTGGCAAAAGACTCCCAATACAAAGAAAATGGAGCTCTTTGTAAAAGGTTACCAGTCCTTTGAAGATGAAAGAACGTAAATCTCTCCCTCTCCCCCAGCTCTGGGAATGGGGAGCACGAGCAACCAGGCTACCAAATAAATGTGTATTTGATTTGATTTCGGGAACCATGCTTTCCTCCCTTCTTTCTCTGACTTCATTCAGACCGATTCTTATGTTCCCATTTTGCTACCTTTATTGTCTTATTAAGGAGCCTTGGTACACAGTAGTGAAGGGTGGTTCAAGTCCATCAGCCACTCCAAGGGAGAAGTGGGGGTCTGCTTGCGTAACATGTATACCGCTCAGAAAGCACACAGGGCAGTTCCACTCGGTCCTAGAGGGCTGCTGTGAGTTGGAATCCACTCACAGGCCATGGACTTGGGTTTTGTATTACCTAATTAACTGCATCTCTTTAGATTTATATGAACTCTTACAGAAATAGTCAATTAGAATCATTATTATGAAAATAACACTTGAATAGAATACACTTGTTGGGCATTAACATTTTTTTCCAGCATGGCTATATTTTCATATTTAGTTATTACAACCATAACAAGGGATAGGAGGTCCTTATTGTGCCCTAGAGGCATTACAGGAGTTTGGCCGGGTGTTTATAAATGGACAGTATACAGTTTTGAAGAAAACTGATGTTTCAAGAATTGCTATTTTTCGTCCTGTGGGCCAAAGGCAGATGACACTTTTTGTCAAAAGTAATACATTCTAAAAAAGCTTACGGCCAACAAAGTATGACCTATGGTATTTGAGTTGCCAACACCACGCAGACAGCAGTCCACTATTATGCAGCATTTGCACTCGCGTCACCTCACTAAGCTTTCTAGTATAATCATAGCGGGGCAACTACAGATGACTACCTTCTTTTTGGTTTCTTCTTTATATGGCAGGCAGGAAGGCATTGTGTTATTTTTAGAGTTTCAGTAAGTAGTTACAGTACTATGAATTTCAGGATGGTACAAAGAGTGTTACGGAAAACTTATAACGAGAGGAAATTAAGTCTGATAGCTTTAAGACCATTCCTATAGTGTTTCAAAGATTTGGGCTCAACCACTCTTTTCATACCCCAAAATAAGCTCCCTGTGCTTCCCATCTGTCTCCCCTTTGCCTTTCCTCCTTCCAGGTGGCAGTCACACCAAATACACTGGCATCGAGTTGCTTCTGACTCAGAGTGACCCTGTGACCTGGGTGGGAGCGGACAGCCTCATCTTTCTTCCTCAGTGTGGCTGTTGGCTTCAATTGCTGGTCTTGAAGTTAGCAGTCCAACACTGACTCGACAGCACCACCAAGGCTCCAACCCGCTGGCAGTGCGTTTTAGGCAGCAAGCTCTGTAATACAGATTTTTTTTTCCCTTCGAAAGTTATAATCCTTTAAAAGTTCTCCAGCTAGCCAAAGCACAATCATGTCGGAAGGAGGGACATGGGGAAAACAAAATGCATACATGAGTGTAAGAGTCAGCAAATATTTCCAACATCAACCAGACTGTGTGGCGTTAAAAACTCTGGTAATAATTAACCCTCCCCTCAATTGGTGTTTGTTTGGTTTTGTTTTTAAATTATTCCAAGAAAAACCCACCCACCCTAAGTTTTTGAATAGTATTTTCACAATTGTTACATCAAAACTGTAATTGCCTGGGTTTTCCTTCCATTACTTCAGTGCACAGAGGAAGGTTTGTTTTTTTTTCCTGGTCCTGCTCTATCACTCTTTCTAGACTATCCCTCGGACCCTCCCCATCTGCCGTACAGAGCGAAGTAGCAACACCCTTTTGTCTATGGAGACCACACTGCATAAAGCTTACTGAAGTTTCTAGCAAGTTCTCATACGTAAGTATAACATGAGGTACTACTAAAGGCTCAGGCAGCAAAGCAGAGTTGAGGAGCAAGGGTTTAAGTATCTAGGCTCCTGCCTCCTAGGATGCCAGCTGTTTCTTTGAGAGGCTTCCCTCCCAAAGATCAGCCCAAACGTGGCAATTTGTCATTTACTTTCATCAGTCTCTCTTCTTAACATGAACAATTCAACTCTGCCTATACGACCACCACATAGGGACAGTCCAGCAGCTATCTACCGAAAGCCTGGTCTATGCCAGGTGCTCTCTGAGAAGCCCTGGTGGCATAGTGATCATGCAATAGGTGGCTAATTGCACGGTCAGCAAATTGAAACCACCAGCTTTTCCTTGGGAGAGAGACGAAGCGTTCTATTCCCATAAAGAGTTACATTCCTGGAAATCCACAGTGGCAGTTCTACCTTATAGGGTGGCTATGGGTCAGCAGTGAGTCTCTATCCTTCAACTCTCACTCAGCCCTTACACCATCCCAGATTTCTGCCCTTTCTTCCAAAAACAAATACAAATTAAGGCATGTCTCCTTGTCATCTTCTGAACCTATTGCAGACTTCTAAAACCATACCAAAGTTAATGTTCCGATAGATAAAAACAAATACATCCCATCTCAAACCAACGTTTCCATTCCCTTAATAATTTACAAAACGATATGAAGAGGTAGCCAACAGCTATATAGCAAATATATATCCCTTATTAGGGATAATATACACAAAGAGTGTTGTTACAGTTGTAATAAGTGAGTAACGAAAATATAACAATGCTAGAAGATGTTACAATTGTATTCTATTCAGGTGTTAGTTTCAAAATAATGATGCTAACTGACCATGGTTATAATAAAAGTTAATACCAAAAGAGGCAAGAATTATCACATAAAGAATATCCTTAGCAGATCTAAGCTCATTTCTGAATTAAGGAATCAAAGTCTCAATCATTTAAGAGCTTAATCTGTACAAATTAGTAGCTCCCTTTTCTCAACAGTGTGTTAAAGTCTATACTAATGGATAAATGAATGACACTATCAACAGAATTACCTTATGCCCCTGAGGGATGATTAATAATGTTCTCTGTCATTAAATGATAATGAGGTCTCTAAAGTGAACCAGAAATGCCCATAAACTATAGATATGTGGGCTCGAACTTAAACTTAATTCTAGCCCCAATCTAAGAACAAATAGTTCTTAAGACATGGCCCTGCTTGATGCTCACCCTTGTATTCAGAGATCGCTGAAGATATGAGTGCTACAGCAAAGCACGGTGAAGAAAGTGGCTGGCGTCTGACTAACAGAAAGAATAGTGTCTGGGTCTTAAAAGCTTTCCTTCAAAAGAAGCAGCCACTTAAGTGAGGCATCAGCTAAGTCCACGTGGAAGAAGCACCCCAGACTGTGTGATCCAAGGATTGTAATTAATAAAATCCAAATCCGAAGAAGGGAATGGCATCAGAGCTTATATTGTGAACACTCAATTTGCAGAAGGTTATGGATGACAGTGGGAGCCCCAAATCCATGTCCAGGTTCCCTGCATAGACTATGCCTCTGGTGAACCCCCTCTGACCATAGTCGAAGCCTGTGAATAGCCTTGATATCAGACAAAGTACTGTAAACTCAATTATGGCAGATATAATTAGGTTAAAATGTAATACCTAATCATTTGATCTCTTTTGACCCATTTAAAATTTATTCCAGTTTTTATTATTTCCTGCTTTTATCTCCATTGAGGTTTTTTCTCTGGTTTATTTTGTTATTGTTGTTGTCTTTTTTGGGGGAAGGGGGGTGGTAATGTTTTCTACTGTATGAAATCCAAGACAGGTAAATCTATAGAGATAGTCACTGGATTAATGCTTATTGGGAATATGGGAGGGGCAGCTGGGAGGGAAGTGGGAAACTAATAATAAATACAAGAAGGAAGAAAATGTTCTAGAACTGATTATAGTGATAACACACCTCTTTTAAATATGATTGAACTATGGAAGTGTATGATATGTGAGTTATAATTCAAAGCTATTAAAAAAAAAAAAGAATCAAAGAGGCGTGTGGGATTCAACACTCAAGCAGCCAGATGAAGCTTCTTCAGTTCAGAATACAGTTATTATTCCTCATTCCTTCCTTCATACTTTCTTCTGACTAATTTTACTCATCCTTTAGGTTAGGTGAGCCCTGACATCATAGTGGGTTCCAACATTGGGCTGCTAAAGGCAAGGTCAGTAGTTCTAAACCACCAGCCCTTTCGTGGGAGAAAGACGAAACTTTCTACTCTTGTAAAGAGTTACAATCTCAGAAACACAGAGAGATAATTTTATTCTGCCCAAACTCAATGGTAGTGAATTTGGTCAAGTGTTTTAGGTCTGAGCTTAGACACCAACGTCACTCCCTCCAGGCAGTATTCCCTGGCACTCCAAGGTCTGGGCTCATCAGAGTACATTCCCCACTTGGTGAGAAGTCTGTCTGCCCTTGAGAGGCAAGACAGTGAGTCTGACCTTGAAAATTCAGACAAGTTGTTATCAATGTATCATTAAAGACAAGTGATTCTAGAAATTTTACTTTGCAAATCCTTATTTTTATAATATGCAAGCTCACAACTATCATCCAAGATGAGAACAATAACAAAACTATGCAAGGTTTATATATAACTTTAAACTTTATAAAACAATCCAAATATACTGTTTAATTTTCATCACAGCCTTAAATAACGGCAACTCATTTTACAAAAAAGAACATTGCAACTCAGAGTAGGGGCTTTTTTTCCAGAGGCCCAGATTAAACGAAATGAGCAAGTCTCAACCTATGTTTTTGTGCCAAATGTTTTGTTCATTACCTCCACCACATTAGGCCTTTCTATCAACGTAATGATAG